GATCTAGATTAGATCTAGTTTAGGTAAAACCTACCCTAGTTATTAGTTAAGTTTAGTAAGAGCTAGATCTAGTAATGCCTAGTAAGGCTAACCTGTTTTTAATTTTAAATTAATTTTTTTTATATCTAGAATCTAGACTAGATCTACTCTAGCTATTTACTAGATCTAGATCAGTAGCCAGTAGAGTGATTAGAGTAGTAGTAGAGTGTAGTGTAAAGTACTGTAGACTATTGTAGAGTGTAGGTACTAATAACTAGACTGAAACTAAATTAGACTAGAATCTAGGTCTAAATACATTTAGGGCTACTTACAGACTTATCAGACTACAGTGTTGCAATGAGTAGATCTAGTAATATATAGATTAAATTTAGTTTGAAATTGTTACAGTAGTGCTACTACTTTTCTAAGTAGTAAGTAGTGTAGACTACTAGAAGAGCAAGATGATAGATCTCCATCAAGCTACAATAGAGTTTAGTTAGTAGTTAGTTAGTCATAGTAATAGTACCAAAAGCAGTGTTAGTAGCACAGTAAAAAAAAAGTATTACTAGGCCATCTATTATTGTATTAGGCCCTTTTATTTTTAGCAAGTTAAAGTTTGGTTAAGTACTAGTCTTCTAGCAAGTTGCCTAGTAGTAAACTTATAAACTAGATCATGTGTATTAGTACTATTAGACTTGTAGGCTAGTCTTGTTAGTCTAGACCAGGGACTATAAAATCTACAATTGATAACTTTCGGCCTTTTAGTATAAGCCTAATTATTAATGAATTACAGGGTACAAAAATTAATAAATTGGTCAGAGTCAGTATGGTTACAGTTAGCTGTTAATAGAATTAAGTTTTAGATCTATTGACTACAATTTTTAGTTACAAGTAATGAAAATGAAACTAATAGTTTTGTAATAGTTAAGATATGGTTAACTGTAAACCAGATATTTTAGTTTTTAAGACAAGCTAAGTAGATAGAAAACTGAACCTTTACAATAAATTAAACCTTTTATAATATATATATATATATATATATATATATATATATATATATATATATATATATATATATATATATATATATATTAATATCTCATATTAGTTAAATAATTATTTTAATATAATATATGGATAAACTTAATAATTTATTATATTTAAATTCCCTAGGTACTTGGCAAGCAATTTTCTCACACTTTACTGTGGCTATTGGTGCTGATCTTGAACTAAAGGTGAGCTGAATTTTTTTTTTTATAATAAGCCATTTTTCAGCTTAAGCCCAAGTTTGAAATCGATTCAGTGTTCTAATTCTTAAAGAATATGTTGCTACTAAGATTATATACTGTAAGTATTAATATGTATGGCTTGATAGTGGGACTGTCAGACAGTAGCTTTCACATTTCTATCCTAAAAGATAAGAGTTCAGATCCCTGGTTTTAGTCCTGGTATGATGTCCTAAGTCTCATGAGTACCAGCTCTCATGAGTACCTGGCTCAAGATAGGGAAATTAAAGGTGGCTGGGTATATACCTCTGAACACTCTAATTTTACATGCAAATGTCACAGAAACAGGTGAATTTTAATTCAACTGCTATATTGGCTGTCTGTTTTAATCAATGATTAATTTTTTCATATTACAGAAAGTTGTTAAAAATATTATTTATTTAATTTCTAGGTAAATGGAACAGCATGGATGTGGATTTTTAGACACAAGGAAGCTGAATTTAACTTTTAATGAAGAATTTAAATGATGATTGTCCATGAAAAGAAATATTAATCATATACATTGTAATGCTGTATTGATGCATCTTCTGTTTTAAGTAATTAAAAAACCATCCATTTATGAAATTATTTTCATTTTTTTTTTCAATTTTAAAACTGTAGTTCTGTTTTGTTATTTGAAAACAATGATGAAAGTATACTGAACTGCCATTGAGATATTAATATAAATGCTATTGTTTATAGTTTAATTCTTTCAGAAGCAACTATATTGACATCAAAACTGAATCTTTATTGTACACTAAGTATAAAAGCTTACCCGCAAACCAGTCCATGTCAACAATTTATTGACATTCAAACATTAAATTTTTTTAAAGGTGATTTTTCTTAAATAAAACAGACTACTTTCATATGGGATAAGAAACATTTAATTTTGAAATTGATTGGTTTATTAAATTTTAATGGAGCTGAAACTAAAACACTGGGTACAAATTTATTATTACTTTGTTTCTCAGAAAATTGCTAATTTTGAACATAAGAACTGTGGGAAGTAGGCAATGATGTTAAAATATCTCTTGAAACTTGAAGAAATTGTGGAAGGTTTAGAGATAGAAAACATTTCAGAAGATGATGTTTGAAATAATGGTAAAATATCTTTAGCAATTGTCTCTGAATAAATATTTTCATTAGACAAATCACATTTAGATATAGAAGAATAAGGTATGTCTTCAGATTTTCTTATCAGCGAAGATCCTAGGTGATTCTCTTTGTTACCATCGGTCAAACGACAAGCCAATTCTGGAAAATTCATTGGGTTCTTTGCCTGGGCAGCTAAATATATTTAAATTAAGTTCATGCAAGGCTTTAGAAACATCAATTGGATAAAACTCTATAATTTCATTAACTTTTATTAATATCAGCTCCAAAGGAATAATATAAACAAGTTACACATCATCAATAAATCAAATTTGCAGATATTTCCATTTCACCAAACTTTCTCTAAGTCATAATATATATTTTAAATTCATGGCATTTTGTTAGGCTAGATATGTTGACTTTTATTTACCACAATAATCTGATTATATAAATTAGGATTACCCAGCTATCATACATTCTTCTTTTTACTGCCCTCCTTTATGAGGGGGAGGTAAAAATCATCATAAAATGTGTGATGCAATTTACAGATGAACCCTCTCTCTCTCTCTACCCCTCCCCCTATATATATATATATATGTATATCTACATAATCTCTAAAATCATGTTGGTACCTCTACCTGTTTGAATGTTAGGCCCCTTTCCTTCAACTGTTTCTGTGTGGATCTTCTCCATGGGGGTCATCTATAAATGACGTCACGCATTTTTTTGACAATTTTTACCTCCCCCCCCCTCCCCCTACACATCGTCACAAAAAGCCAGACCCCCACCCCCTAAAATGACTTCACACAGTACTAGATTCTAGATCTAAATTACTACAGTTGCCTACACTCTAGATTTAGTTCTTAAGTTCTACAACAAGACTACACTAAACTTCGCTAGATCTAGAATAATCTAGATTCTATATATAAATTGATATTGAACATATTCTAGTCTACCTGTCTTAAAGTAAATAGCCTATTTAGTAATTTAGTAATTAATTCCACTCAACTACACTGTAAAATAAAAGAAACTAGATCTAGAACTCTAGACTACTCTTGAGTCTATAAATTAAAAATAAATCCTGTATGTAGTATGTTACTGTCTAAGTCGGAATTTTCAAGAGGGTTTTTTTTTTAAGTCATAGATCTAGATATAGAATTCTAGATCTAGAAATCTAGACTCTAGATCTAGGCTATATATATTTATTAATTAAATTAGGCTTGATTTCAGATTTACGATTGAAATCTTTTAGGCCTATAAATATCATATTTTATATAGATTATAGATGTATTATTATTATACAGGTTGTATTCTAGATCTATCTAGATCTATATAAAATATAATATATTTGTGTGTGTGTGTTATTTTAAACTTAATTTACTTAAAACAACTTATTGTCGGAGTTTTTTTTATTCCAAAAACGAAAGTAGATTTCATAACTTAAAAAAAAAAAATAAAAAATATTCACATTTGGTTTGAAAAAAACGAAAAAACGCCAGCTGGCAACTACCGGAGCGAGAACTTGGTAAGCTACTTTAACAACTTACAAGCCCAATAGGCTCTTGTCATTTAGTTTCTCAACCAAACGGCCCACGTTATTACGGCTCCAGACAAATAGGCTCCTGTCAATTTGGCTCCAGACAAAAGGACCACTGACAATACGGTTTCCGTAGAGACTAAGTCTCCCGGCAAAACAGTCTCATTGAATATGATACCTGCCAGTGCGACCTCTTCTTCAATATTCTTTAGAGTTAGCTTATCCTACACTTAAGTAATACAATCGTATGCATCTTTTGTTCGGCAGGCCTTATTTGTATAATAGTTTATCTATTATAAGAAATAGTATGTTTTAATTTAAGGATTATCAGATCTTTAAACATTATCAAAATTTTAGAAGGGCTCGATTTGTTTGTGAATTGATGTTGGTTCGTGAAAAACAATTTCATTCAGGCATTTAAAAGAGGTTATAGTGGTAGTGGAGGTAGGACAAAATGGTTACTTTTATGCCAATAGTGGTCATACGATTCATTAGTTTGGAGCCAATATGTCGGGAGTCATTTTGTCGGAAGCCAATATGTCGGGAACCCATTTGTCGGGAGCCAATATGTCGTGAGCACAATTTTCGTGAGCCCATTGTCGTGAGTCCTTATATCGGGAGCCAATTTGTCGGGAGCCAATATGTCCAGAGTTTCTTCCCCCCCCCCCCCGAACGAAATGAAATGAGTATAATTTATCTAGAAAATATATACTTTTAACAGTGTCCGCCCCCCCCCCCCCCAAAGAAAGTCTACCGCCCCCCCCCCCCCCCCCGAAAATTTCAAGTGCCCCCCGGAGAAAAATTCTGGAAGAAACACTGAATATGTTCTGAGCCACTTTGTAATATTCAATAGTTATTTCCCCTTACAAAGAGCTGGCTCCCTTATGTGTAAAATAAAAACAACATAATTTATACTTATCTATCACATTAAATAATGATTGGGTAAATATTACATTATTATTTAACATGCATAAAATAAATATTATTATAACATTGATATTAATTGCATTTATATGTTGTATGTACTGATGTATTATATTATTTACATATTTATTTAATTAACTGTAACCATACGGATCCAACAGAAAGTTTTACGGTGGGTCCTCCATTGTGCACATATTTCTGTAGCTTTTGCGCAGTGGCGGTACCATAGCCAATGAGGTTTTACCGAGGCGTGGTTATTGCTAGTTGAAAACTAATCCCAATGATAACTTGGGACTAAGATAATAGTATTCTATTGAGAGATAAATTTTTAGCGTCCATCAATTGTTTTTCATCCTGTCACAAGTGTTGATGCAACAGTAACATCGGTTAATGTTATTTGTTCAATCACACTTTTATACGATATTAAGAAATGGACTATGCAACTATCACAAAAGTCAACAATGGGGTTGCGCCCATTTTTGTTCCCTCTAGGTCGAGAGATCCGGAGAGGAGCCACCCGGACTACGGTTCGGGTGGCTTAATGAAAACTTGGGCCCAAACTCTTTCAGTTTCAGATATCAAGACAACAATCACAATAGACCAGTCTGATGAGATAGCTCCTGAGCTCTTCGACTCGCCTACAGTAATTCAAGTCACCATCCAATCAAACCAACCACCAGAACATCCCTGGTCACCTCTTGCGCAAGATCATTAGCCCACACCAGATACTGCTGCTCAACTATGGACGAGGGGATACCTGGTACTTCTCGTCCAACGAGTTTGATGTAGCGGATCTGGGACGGCACCACAAAAACACACGGCCCATACACTTTGAAATTCGACAGATACCACAAGGACAAAAATCATCGGAATCCTTAGATGGGTCCCGCCAGCCATGAGCAACGAAACACTGATTTAAGGCACTGCAAACAGTCAGCAAATCTACACCTACAATAACCACAATCCCGCACACAAACAATCGCAGATTCACCATCCAGAACGACAATCCACAACACATCCCACACTCAGTGGCGTGCAGAGCTATGTTGCTGCCGGGGCAAACCCAAAGGAAGATGCCCCCATTAATTGTATATATATATATATATATATATATATTATATATATATAATATAT